CCCAGGGTACGTTCCGGTATACCGGACCGTACCCAGGGTACGTTCCGGCAGTACCCTGGGGGGCATAGACCCTATCAGCATTACTATTAGGATAATTACACGATTACTGGATTATCATTAGCCATTACTGGGCATTAGGCCTACCTGACGCTTTTTTTAATTTTCGCGCCGGTCTCCAACGTTTCCAAATATACATTTATGTCATCTTTAGCCTTCAAATATTGGGTATCTATGTACTTAATAAATTCTGCATTACAAACTTTCGCTAATTCGTCAGTCATATTTGCAGCGCAGGTGAAAATTATTACACTCTGGCATTTCCAGGACAAACGTCTACACACAAGTGTTTACATGCGGCGCGCAGAGTTACCACAACAACACCGTGCTGCCATCTTCCGTATGAAACGGAATGATAAGATGTAGCCGTGAATCGTGTAACTGGTTCTCAAACGACTATTAAATTACACCGTCACACATATATCATTTGATTAACAAATTTGATTAAAATATGTGATTTTATATGAACTTGCCGTTACTCATGTGTTATTATTAAATGTTTAATTCAAATGAAGCCGACAGTGCACATCATCTGGCAGAGCAGAAAGTGATTGGCTATTGGTGATCACGTGAACGCAAGTAGCATGCCATGATGCCAGTTGAATGTATTTCAAACGTCGTTGTTCGTTTGCGTAAACGACAGAAGCTACGTCGTCATACATTCTGAGTGAATTATAAATATATTTTCACTTGTATAAAACACTGAATTTAACGTGGTAAATGAATATGGATATTTGTGCTGTCCGCCTGTGAAATTCGCGCTACATAGATAAACGTAGGTATAATTAGACACATAAGTATAGGAGAATTGGTGCCTGTCTGAATACAGTAGTGAATTACTAGGCTATAGTTAAAAATTTGTGAAGTAAAAATCGATCGCATATTCTGTTGTTTTAATATATAGTATATTTCCACGTTATATTCTAACAGCATTGTAGTTATAATATTGAACAGAGGACGTGGGCTGTTCGATGATATAAATAGTTAGGGGTTGATATAATCAGGAGTTAATAAAGACAAAGTTTTTAATGAAGATGGAGTTTTGTCTTTATTAACACCTGATATAATACATGTGTACAGATGAATCTCTTTAGAATGCAACAGATTACGAGTATCTCCGATCTGACCAACAGTTGAACGATGGGTGAAGGATTCTTAGACATGGACTTATAGAATGCACGTCTATCATTCTTTAGGCGACACAATGAGTAGCGTGAGTGAGAATGAGAACTGTGAGGGTACATTGACAGGCCTATTCCACCTGGCTCTTTCTCCGGACCATAATGATGCTGAACCAGCTGCAGAAGCGCTGGTGAAACGTTTAACTCGACTCTCATCCAATGACACGTAAGTGGAGATCCGAGTATTGCATTAAACAGCGATATCTTGGAAAGAATATAATTTTTATTTTTTTCGTGACAATCAATTAATTTCACTCTACTATCTGGGACATCGTGAAAAATATCATCGTAAATTCCTATGGGAAAAATCTAAAATATATGGATTTAGTTCGCAACCGTGTTTATGAGACATTTCACGTGAATCGTACAGCCCCGATCGTAAAGCAAAGTTATGCTCTGCATATTTATATGTCCGATTAACATGGGAAGATCAATGATCATATTTACTACATTACCTTGCAGCGACGGGACATGTGACGAATCCATTGGTAATGTTCTGCCGCCAGATGCCGTTGACATGCTGTCGACAAAATTGGATGCGTTGCTTCGCCATCAGCTGACTAACAGAACAATCACAAATGCACAGGGGACTAATCTAATGAACCTATTGGTAGAAGCCATGTCCCATCTCACCACATGGATCCATGTTGGACCACCGGACATTAACTGGTTATTTGCTCATCCTACTTTTCGACTCTAGTTAACATGGGTAAATAAAATCGATATAATAGACATGACTCATCGTGGTCTTAGACGCGGACCAAGCAAATCACCTGCGATATGGTAGGATAAATACGAATTTTTAAAGAGATTTTTTTTAGAAGATACGGTTTATTCAGTGGTCTTTCAATGTGGCTTATTTTGTACTCTAGGGCGTATCTAATGGATGTCGTCACAAGAGTTATCATCGCATTGACCAAAGAGACCGGTGCAGCTTACAGATCTACCAGCCTTGACTGCGCCATGCGAATTCTACTGTTTGCTATGCCACGCTGGTGAGAATCAAATGTTGAGGGTGTCTCTTTCTATTGCTGCCAGTGTCTCATATCATAAACGCAATATAAATGAATATATATATATATATATATATAAATATATATATATATATATATATATGTTGTTATGTCGTAGTACGTATATGTACATCTCCTGCATTCATATTGCCCATATATATATATGAATGTGTGTGCGCGCGCGCGTGCGTGCCCGTGCTTGCGTGTATGCAGGTCCATAACTAATAATTTTTTCATGACCGAGACCTTTTTATTTAAGAAGTTTGATCAAATAATATTTTTCATAGGGTTACAAGAAAGCGTACAACCGCGTTACCCATATTATGCATTTATTCTCATTTTTAGTGCGACTGAGCATTATTGGAAAACGCTTAGAAGTAACAAGAAATTGCAGATGTCTCTCAACATCATCAAGTGGCAGGAATTTACAGGAACACCGAATCCTAGGTACACGGATGGTTCACCTTTTATTGACGTACTTCGAGATTGTGCATCGCACTGTACATCGAGATTGCGAGTATTTGAGGAGGGTATAGACATGCTTGGATATTCGCTTCGTCTCTGTCTCTCTCTCCCCCTCTCTCTCTCTCTCTCTCTCTCTCTCTCTCTCTTCTGCTTCTCTCTCTCTCCTTTCTCTCTCTCTCTCTTTCTCTCTCTCATCTCTCTCTCTCTCTCTCTCTCCTCTCTCTTCTCTCTCTCTCTCTCTCTCCCTCTCTTCTCTCTCTCCTTCTCTCTCTGCTCGCTCTCGCCTCTCTCCTCTCTCTTCATCTTCGCGCTCTCTCTCTCCTCCTCGCTCTCTTATCTCTCTCTCTCTCTCTCTCTTCATGTCTCACTGATATATATATAATATATATTATATATATTCATATCATCATACTCGCCATATTTCGCACCGATGCACTGCAGATATCATTCAGACTATAGTCATGACGCCGCAATTGCAAAAATGACTTTTTTCAGATTAATGGCAGAGGAACTGTATCACACATTGTTCATAAAAGAGGATGATACTACTATGAATGAGCAAGCGTATTTACTTGATACTGGAGGAGGTGGTAGCAACAGCAAAGGCCTGACTGTCATCTATCAGAACCCAAAAGTCCACAAGGTGATTTATTATGGGTCTATGCAATAGTTATATCTTTTTACGATATGTTCGCGTTACTTTTTCTTGTTATACACAGCTAGCCAGTCTGCTTGTGCGTGCGTTGACTCGAATCAGCATCTAATCAGCACAAAGGCATTCAGCACCTGCTTTGCTATATACTCACGAGTTATAACAGGTAACGTGCGCTGCACTGTTGTGTTGTGATTCACAATTCCTTCTTCTGCATAATGAGAAGCAGCGGTATGGGGCGAGAATTGAAGCCAGATATGACGATATGTATAACGCCTGAACTATACGCCTGCTGTACGAATATTTGCTCAACGATATATAGATGGTCACGGCGAGTAACATTACAGTAAAGATGTTATTATAATATGTGGTATACTCCGAGTGAAAGCATTTGATTGTCATTGACGTTTATTTTATACGTCGCATTATATTGACAGAAATTGATGGCTATGTGTAAATATTAGCTATCGTTTTACTCTGAATGGGAACATTTTCCACTTCCGATATACAGATAGTAGGGTAAACATGAGCCGTGCTTCCTAATGCCACCACTTCGAGTGCCTTTTATACCTTTGCTTCTTTCTTCTACCTTGTTTGCGGTTCTCTGCTGAAAGCTGTCATGGCGACAGGATGTTGCTTGAACAATTGACCGCGATAATGATTTTCCGTTGAATGCAGAGTCGTGACGAGTACTGTCAGCGGTCAATTGCTCAATTCCACTCCTCGCGGTATTGTTTTTAGTGTGCCGAGGTTCGCCGTAACTAGACACCTTGCGTCCATTAGGGAAACTATGAATCAGTTAGCCGCTGCTCCTGCTGTCAGTTATCAAACGAGTATTCGCGCAATAGGACCCCGGTCGCTGCATCCTCTCGCGTTATGCAGAAAGATTCTGCACCCCATGACTGTCACTCTGTTATAATTAATGGCCGCACACACTATAGGATCTATATTTGCTATTTAACAGCTGAAACTGCACGGGGACGATTTGCAGTATATATGCCCAAAGCGACGACTGTTATTATTAGAGTTTACTGGGAAAAGCTGTTCTGATCACGGATCTATTTTAATGTCGAAACACTCTGGATAAATATTTTCCGTGCAAACAGGACGTGAAAATAGTCACGAACGACGAAATCGATTATGACGTCATGCAGTGTCGACGGATGATTGAATGCTTGAACGCATGTGAGATTTGTTAAGACTGCTACGGTTAGTTACGCCGTATCGCTGTATTCTGCACGAACAACATGAGTGGCGTGCGTACGTGCATAATTAACATGCTTCTTCTTGAGCGTGCATATTCTATTTGGGTAATTGGTCAATTGAAATTTGTATTTATTAATTTTTGCGTTATTTTCCTTATAGAAAAACATACATCGGAATGATGAAAACGCTCAACAACCAATACACATGAGGAATGCATCACAACCAATGGCAGCCTGTGACAGCGTTTCAGTCAAGATTCTACCGAATACACATGGATGTAATATTGTTCCTGATAGTATAAGGGGTAATCCAATTAATGGCGATCGTAACACTGAAGAGAAGGTAGGTGGTAAACACGAGAGGTATTCATCGGCAGCTCTACTTGGCATAAAAGAAAGCAGTTTTAATGACGATGCTGAACAAGCGTATCCTGGGGCAGAAGCAGCAGGGGGCCTGTTTGCGCATGATCGCGTGGAAACCCAAAGCGGGGCTGAAGATTCTGGAGCCATGATCCAGAGTAATGATGACTCGTTGAAAGATTGTAAAAATGCACTAGACGTCATCAATACCTGCCACCGTCAGGAACGAGAAAGCGAGCGGGGAGCAAGAACGGAGAGCAACCGAGAAAGGGCGAGAAGCGAAGGGGAGTCGACGCATGAAGTAGATGCTGATCATGATTGTCCCAAATATGCTCTTCAGAACAAATGCGCCGTTGTGGCGAATGATATTGACATGGGCTGCAATTTTGACACGTTTCCTGTAGTAGTAAGCGAACCAACAATGATAAGTGGTGATTATCTGTGTCAGTACAGGAATACGATTGATCACGCTAAAGACATCGACCAGTTGTCGGCATCCTACAACAAACATGATGCGAAAAGCGATCAGAACAACAACATTGCACCAAATTTCAGTAAAAACCTAAGCGACATAGTCAATGCTCGCAGCGAAAGTAAGTTATTCAACGATTCCGTTCGTGGAGCGTTTGAGGACATCGTGGTAGAATCCCACTCATCTAGCAATTTTGATATCGGTCAATACGAGCTGATTGAATCTCAGTTATTACGCGATGGCTCGGCATTCCATAATGGAAATTCGGATAAGCAACTCTCGCTCTTATCTAGCGATACGAAAGTCGCGAGTTCGTCTGCAGATCATGTAGTTACACTGCACTGCCGTGAGCCTGGCAGCGACGAAGGGCTTGGATATTGGCGACAAGGGGTATCGGGGGAGTTTGGAGCCACCGCCACCAAAGAGCTAAAACAGATATCTGAGCAGTGGCCACCTTCTCTAGTCTTGGTACCCACTGATTCAGAAAACGAGCAGTACGGCGATGTAGCCGATGGCGACGCGATGGCGCCACTTGATACACCGCGGCTATGCCTACCTGAGTCTTACCAGCTCGGCTCGAGCGATTCGCTCTTTGTTAATCCACGTGGCTCGGCAACGGATCTAACTAGCGACGTTGGTACTCCATTTACGCGCCCGTTTTCTCCCTCAAACGTCAGTTGTTCAAAGTATGCGAGAGAGGTGGCATCAAGCACTCCTGCCGAGTTCAATTGGGTCCTTCCTTTTTCCATTCCTTCCTCTGGGTCGTTGGCTTGTGCCGATGCTAACACCCCACTCAGCGCGATACATTGCCCAGATAGGTTTTCGTCGGCGATTTTAGATCAGCAATCCTCGTCGATGTACGTCAACCCACCTAGTTCATTTATTGATTATCGATCGCCCGTTGATCTATCAGTATTGCCCTTGTCGAAGATTTCATCACTGAGCACTGATCAGACTCTTGGAACCTTGCAGACATCGCAGCAGGGCATGTTAGAAGAGCAACGACTAAGCAACTCGCGCAGTGACCAAATGGGGCCTGCCTGCTGTTGTAGGCAGAGTGCTTCGCTGTCCCAGGATCCATTTTGCTCACTTTGCGTTAATGTGCCCGATTCTGGACTCATGACGGCCAGCCAGATAACGTTGGATTGCGGCAGCTTCACCACTGACTCCAATTTTATTATTCTCAAAAATCGTTCTCCGATGGAAAAAGTCGACAGCGATATTGGCTGCAAACACGACCACACTTACTGGAAGCCTAGAGAGGAGATGCGTGTAAATAGTGCGGTGCAGGCTGAATTACTAGGCCCTAATCGACAGGAAAAGCCATTTGAGGTACGTTACAAAGAAAGTGAGAGCACGCTCGCCGGTTCCGGTGTCGAAAATTCGCATGGTGATAATGACTTCTTACGTCTACCATTAGACGACATCAATGATGGTTCTGACAGAGAAATGCCATCGTCGCTGCACTCTAGGGGATCGAGTTTAGACTCGCTTGAATATTTGCTGTCCTGGAGGGGCAATGCCCTAAAACCTGCGGGCAGCACACTAAGCCTTGCTGGCTCCTTCAAAAGTTATGGTAACGATGAAAATGACCGATGGGAAGATGAGATGCACGCTAATAAAGGCAACGCGACTAGCGCAATCAGTCTTGCTGGATCGTTCGGCAGTGACGACACGCATAGGGACAGAGCAACGGTGAGACTCATGCCAGAAGCTGCACATTTTTTCCGTACTGTTCCTGCTGACTATACAAATGATGACGATGATATTATAAACGGTGTGAAATTAGTTGAAGCAAATGCTGGCTCACCGAACCATCACGGAAATGCTACGGTTGACTGTGCAGAAGAGCAGCTAAGAGATGAGCAGCCTAATCTTGCAACTGTCACCGACAAATGTTTTGACAATTTTATCGATTTTCCAATAGAGTTCGAGACCTTTGACGATCTCATTGACCCGAACCCGCACGCAATTTACGAGGCTTCAGCAGAATTAACGTGCATTACCCCTGATTACCCTCAAGATTTAATAGACGCTGAGCCATTTGTTCACAGCATTTCAGATGAACTTCTATCAGCAGTTAATGTGGTGGAAACAGAGCGCGACGAAGCTATTGAAGATGAGGCGCCGCAGAATATCATGGCTGCCGCCAGCGGCGCCATTACCTCACTAGAACTCGATTTCGCGCAAATTCTGGATTCAGCTGACGAAGATTTGACGCCTAAGGTACCGCCGACCTCGCCCACGTGTGGGGTACCGGATATTCCAGATCCATACATGCATGCCTGTCATGCCACAAATGCGTTACAAGATATTTCACACGCTATGGATCAGCAGGATGTTGTTCCAACCAATAACAAGTGCGCTTCCGATGACATATCTTCAAGCATTCCTGAAAGAATCCTGTCGGAGTTTTCCGATTACCTAGAAGGACTCACAGCGAAGGATATAATAGATATATTTCAGCAAGAGGACAATCGTGGCGTGACAGGTGCGACGTACAACGAATCGCTTTCAACAACTACTCTCGACCACTGCGTTGAGAAATCGACCGTATTAGCCACGTGCTCATTGGAAGAGAATCGACCGGTAGAGTCACATAACGAGAAGAACTACGTGCTCGAAGTACAATCATGCGAAGTAACAGGAACAAGGTTGTCAAACATTGGCGATGTCGACGGTGAAAGCGTGTCCGCGACGAATTATTTACCGTCTGATAGCAGTATTGCTTGCCTGCGCGAGCAAGCTTGTGAGAACCCTGAAGCTGAAATCGCGAGTTCGTCAAACACGGATAACATTGACACAAGTGTTGCCAGTTCCGCGGTAGAGAATGACTCCTCCGTAGCTTGCACTGAGGACACGACTATGTCGGCTGGTGAGTATACCTTGGACGACGCGTGTGTTACTTTGAGCGGAGGCCCAGGCGATGGCACTAACACGTACATCGCTTACATGAATTCCACATCGTGTGACGCCGAAGCGACCCACATCAGCGCAGCGATCGGAAAAAGACCGGATGTCATACCGACAAGCGACTATAGACTATCGCGCCTGTGGGATCTTGAAGAAGACAAGAGGCTGCCAAGTCTTGAAGAATGCTCTTCTTCTCCCAATCATCCGCAGAAGGGGCAGGACGACAGTTTCAACATCGAGATCTCTGTCACCAACTGCTCCGGTGACGTCGTGGCAAATGAGCTGGTTAATATTCCTAACTTAGATAAAAGAATTCATTGCCGTCGTCGGATACCTTATCAAATGTCTCTTGACGCGCCATATGAACCCCTAAATACACTCTGTGACGATTCGAATTGCGCTCAGGAGACTAGATCCATTGCGACCGCAGAACGTGCTACAGAGAATCGTGTAGAGGCACGCGACATAGAGAGACCGATTGGAAGACACGTGCTATGCTGCTGTTTTATTTAAGCGCAAGCTATTCGGCTCCTTGTATGTTTACCCTGGTCTGTTCTATTCCGGAGGCATATTAGCTAGCACCAGCACTTGGCCTGGCTGGCTGGGAAGCCGATTGTAGCGTTTTTGCTGAACCGGTTACAAATAACGCTAGAGATTCCGAAAACGCTGGAATCGTGGCAGGGGTACATTTTTATACTAATATACTCCTATTTATGCTATGAATTTAATGCGGTGCCACGCTATATAGTTTAGATAATGCTGCATTGCGGTTTCATCAGCAAGTCCGCAGTAGATTGAACGATAGCATGTACGCAGATTATTTTTGATATTCTAAACTTTACAAGGACAAGTGGCGCCGCCATTGTGGTAGCTTTTATGCTACGCAGATAAAAAGAATTTAGTAATCAGTGAATATCGGTGAACCATATAAACCCAGCAATATATACGTAATGCGTCTGGGTGATTGCATTCTTGCACGCAGTGTCCGCCTCGTCTTGTCTTCATTTGAACGTAAAGCATAAAAGTCATCATTTAATTTTTAATTTTAGGGACGTTAATAGAAATTAGATGAGAAATATGAATTATTGAAAATGCCCGCAATTCTAAAACCATTTGGCATGATATAATTTTAATGCGTCCTGAAGAATAGCGGCTGACGAACATAATCGGAAATAATTTAGCAGTAGTTCCACTTAAATAATTATCTTCTCTGAAATTCGGAATTCATAATCATACTGTAATCGTCTACCGTCTAGCTAGTTATTTTTGCTATGCGATTCTAACTGTTTGATTTTCTTACACAGAAATATAGCTCTAGTTACCATGGTGGCACTACGTTATGGAATGAAGGCTATAGCGAGTCAATCTATATATATATATAAATCGGATCGGTATAATCTTAAAGTAATTATTTTGTTTAGATTTTTGTTTTGTTGAGATAATTGAATAAATGTATTAGTATATTTATATAATAATAGTATAGCATAATTTAATATTAATATAAGAATAACGTTGTTGTTATCATTAGGTATTAATGTTTCACATCGGTTGCACGCTTCTATTGTATTGAACGCTTTAGGTTTGTTTGCACCATTTAAATTAATATGAAATGTGTGGGAATATAAATGCGCAACGATCATGCCTAGGAATTGTGGCAGATTACACGTGATTGTCTACCTGCCTACTCGCACACGTGCGTGTGTGTGTGTGAGAGAGAGAGAGAGAGAGAGAGAGAGAGAGAGAGAGAGAAAGAGCTCGCGCGTTCGTGCCTAATACAATCTGCATTTGATTAACTATGACATAGCGATTAAACGTTGTAATGGAAATTTTCATAAAATAAAATGGTAATTTTGCAATCCCAGATGCATCGCTGAGTTCAGTAATTTTTCTACCGTCCTTGCTAATGATGTGTTATGTGCATGCACCATAGTATTTGAATCGGCGATTCCACAGCGCCTCGCTTTCTCACGGTACCCTCGTTCCACTCGCTGTTTTAAAAAAACGCGTCCGAGTATGATCGTGTATGGTTTCGGTGTGGTTATATTTGTAGTGCCTTAGCTATATGAGAGCCTGCACTAACTTGACATTTCCTGTTACCATCCGCTATTACCAAGTGCTACAGATCGCCTAATGCAACCAAACGAATCGGTAATTTCTTTTAACCCAAGTCCAGTAAGTTTGCAAATTCACGACATTTTTGATGCGCAGGGAGTCGATTTATTTATTGAGGCTGAAACTGTGATGATAGCGTCATGGATATCCATATACAGCAGCAAACCGTCGTGAAAGCGCGGCAATCATTCGTAATATATGTAGGTTTAGAAAGAGGCTGATATTCAGAGCAAGAAAATGAGCGAACGAAAAGGGGCAGAATGTAAAGCGATGCATTGTTGAGGAGGTGGGCGGTAATCAAATATTGGATTCCCCCACTACACCCTACCTTTACCCGTTTTAGACACACTCCACACCTCGTGCACACTCGCGCACGCTCGCCTGTACGCACACGCGCAGACACGCACGCACGCACGCACGCGCCCACACACACCTCGAGGGGACATTATACGATTCGATTAAAGCCTTGTACTGACAAGAAAAAATGTGCAAATTTGGTTTCCATGATTTTTATTTTGTTCTAAATACCCAGCAGGGCACAGTTTCTTTTCTCTTCCTTCAATTTAACATCACTACATGCGCTTATACGGTCAGATAGCATTTTTAGGAAAAATCGATCGCACCACGCAGTACATTTCTCTTAAGCAGCGTGATAGCGCTTGTACCGAGATACGGTGTCTCTAAATATAACGCGACTAAATTAAATAGCGCAAATGTTTTAATGAAACATTAAGGAGGCACTAAAACACATTTTACAATTAGCCTGGGCTTCTCTACTTGCGAAGCACCGCCAAAATGTAAGCCCATCTTTGTATATGCAACATACAGCGAATAGATTTATACAGGCAGCATCTGTGCATGGCGTAATTGCATGATCGATTGGCCACTTGTTTTACTGCTCGGAGTTGTTTAACATAATTCCAAGTGTTATTGACAACGTTTTTCTGTGGTTAAAATCAGGTGAAGCAATATGTTGCTAATTATTTACGCCGGGATAGTTTTGTTGCCTCCAAATCGATGAGGTTAGCTAATCCCAGCGTCGCCACGTATACAAGCGAACAACGGTGTCGCGCGGATCTATACGAAATGTCGACTCTTTACAGCAGCGACATCCAACAATAACAAGCCTGATAAGATTGCAAATGCCTATTGTGGACATTTTAACATAGACATACAAGATCACACCCACACGGAGGCCCCTACACATTAGATGCGAGTCCTGGCTATGGATCTCTGCTCAGTGCTTGGGCTTATAAGCAGACTAATACAGTTAACTATGCAGTGGCGTACCTTAATGCAACGTGTATACTGATTTCCCAACGGTTATCGGAAATGATTGCTAAAATTTGTTGTTATGTTCGGGTCCAACTAAACTGTGTCACCACGTAGCAACTCCCGTTCGTTGACATTCACATCGTAATTGTCTGCCTACATGCGTCATCACATTTTGATTACGCTGAGCAGTAATATAATAAAGCCCATCCAGAGATTTGTTGTAATTTTCACGATTCAGCAGTGAATGGGGACTCGGTACCAACCACTTATGGGATTTTATACAATAATTGTGTGACTCGAACTAGGGCCACTGTATATCGTGCATGACTTGCTGGATTGCGTACATGTCGACAACCCATGTTTGCTCGATCCAATCAGAAAATCTCTATATTTTATATTTCTATATTGATGGTAGCTGTTCCGCGAAAGATCTACATGCCAAACAAATGGCCGCCTTTGTTTTTACATATTTTTTTTACACAACTGCCGCGTAGGTTGATGCGACGGAGAAAAATCTTATTACATCGGTTCAACATGAACTCGAGTACCACAAAAAATTACGAATACATTATTCATACTCTGCGACGGGCTACAGCTTGCGAAACTAAATCGCGTTTACGAACATTGCCATGCCCGCCTACACTATACATACAGCAATATGACATCCGATAATTCAGTCACAAAAACATTTGCGGCCAATACAAGTAGACCACGTCAAAATACGTATAATCAATCACACACGAACGTGCAATAGATCGCTCTCGTTGTTTTCGTAGCCGTACGCACCCAATGACAGCGTTAGCGAAATAATGAAGGAAATACCAATAGTCACAGCAAATATTGCTGTTAAACGAGTGATTCAGCAGTGGCATCGCATGATACATGGGGGGGGGGAGACCAGAAGAGGCTAATGAGAGACACGAGAAAGCTATCATAAGAGAAAGTGGATAAGCAGAACGACAGAGATAGTTAAATCGTAGAAGGCTGGGAAGTATGTGAAACGAGGTTAAACTAGGTTAACAGAGTGAGAGAAATGAGATGTGTAGAGTCGTATTCGGAAGAATGGTATATAGATGAGGAGAGGAGATTGGAAGAGCTGTAAGAGGAGAATAGGAGTAGAGAACGGTCCATGGCGTCCTTTATATCACACACACAGCCGCCGACGAGCAGCCCGTGTACCAGCGAATGCATGTGTTGGTTTTGCAGCTCACTGCTTGATTCTCTCTGTGTGCTTTAGTAATGGCAAAGTAAATGTGAATGGAGGTTCTAATAAGTCACATACTATATGCAACAGCTACGCTTATGCACACGAGGGTAGCTTTTATACTATAAATCTGCCCTCGCGTGTGCGCATGCATATATTTGCGATACTATGTAAACCTGCATACACACACATATATATATATGCTTTAGGGACTCTTTATCGCGAAAATGAAACACAGGCGCGAGCGTTAAAAGATGGATATTAGCGCCGCTAGCGAATGAACCTGCAAATCAATTCAGATAAAGACTCTCGCCTAGCGACGCAGCGCATGGAGCCGTGGCTTCCATGACTCCATCGTTGGGCAATACTGGCGTCAAATTCTACTGAGTATTTACGTTGATGGTGGCTATACATATAGCTATGGCGTCAGCGTGCTCACCGGCTCATGATATCAGTTTCGTGTCGGTGATATGTTACGCTACACGAGAGACTCTCTGGCGGTGTGTAACGCTTGCCACCATTGGTCCTGTAGGAACACCGAGTTCATGTAGCTCTGCTCGAGCCGCTTCGTCTCTCTGTCCAGCTGGTCTCGTAGACACTGTAGGGTCATGAGCAGTCGCTGTTTCCGGTACAGCATCAGCTGACAGCGGAACTGGATGATGTCGTCCTTCCACTGCCGGTGTCGGTCGAATGACGGCTGATGGTGCCGGTCCGCTGCCATGTGATAGTCCATCGCCGGTTGACTGACCGCCTTCAGGCTGTTCGTCTTCAACTGCAGCTCCAGGAGCCGCTGCACGTCGCTCAGATTCCTCACCTTCTCCTCGAGATCCTCCTGGAGACGCATCTCGCGTCGGAGGCTTTCCTTGCTCGCCAGCGATGAGTTGCTCTGGTAGACGGGCCCGGAGGTGCTGGCGCATCGCCACACCGATCGTGACGAGCCGGCGTACTGGCGCGCCGAGTATAGCTGTAGCGTACTGCTCGGAAGCGACAGGCGCCCCCTGGGGAGCTGCAGCGTGCTGGCCTGCGTGTACAGCGACTCGGCGGCGAAGTCCTCGCGTAGATTCTCGTTCTGCGTGAACTTCTCGCTCTGCGGGCGATGCGTGCCCTCCAGTTCCAACGTTGCCGTCTCGCCGGTGGGCGTCTGAGCCTGGGCGCTTCCCAAGCTGCAGTTGTCTACCGGTGTTCCGGGCTCGGTGCCCGACTGCTGCGTGCAGGTGTTGCTCTCGAATCCGGAATCGTTCATAGAAAGGTCGAAATCCTCGGGCGCGGCCGACTTATCGCCGGCAGCGCCATCGGCGGAGTTCTGCGAAGACGCGTCGCTGCTCTTTCTCTTGTTCTTGGCGGCGCCTGACCGCCGATCCTTCACGTTCAACTCGCCGTCCGATTCCGTTGACGTCACCGAGCTGCTATCGCCAAGGTAGGCGTCCTCGCCGTCGTCGTCTTCCGAATCCGACGAGCTCACGTCCGACATCTGCTCTGCGTTCCAGTCGCCATGCGCGCCATCGGAGTCGATCGCCGGCGATGCTGGCGGCGCGAGCTGGTGCGTCTGCGGACCGATCCACGGGTTGGTCTTAATCATGCTTCGTCGGCCTGTCTCGGCGATTCGCTTCACTTCGGCAGCGTTCAAGTCCTCGCCGTCGGTGTTATCATCCTTGGAGACGTAGCCGGCGTCGTTAGTGTTGTCAGCGTACACGGCATCGATGCTGTGTGCTTGCGCGACGATGCATGCACACGGCTTGCCTCGTCTGTCATTTGTCAGCGCTAACACTCCATTTACCCACAGCGCACTCACTCCATGGCAGCGAACGCATTTTTGATATTTCTTGCCTTCGATCCCGCTCAGATCGTACAGCCCGTCGGGTGTAAAGCGTTGGCTCTCGGCGGCTTTCTTGTTATTACCACTAGGTGACGCAACGAGCGATCGCTGCTTCTTGCGTCTGCCAAGCGTGGTAGCGATCCACCCTCGCAGAGAATTGAGACGACCCATGTCACTGACTTCACTACCCTAGCTTGCTTCTAGTTTTACCGCAATGTGTGTTGCATGCCTGCAACGAAAAAAAAGCAAAAGTGTTAGCCTCAAGCCATTAAATTTTCACATTAATGCATTTAGCTTTAATAATAGAAAATGGCGCGTACGGACAATTTGCATTAAACGCGTGTATAATAGCTGGACATAATCGAACACGCGTACAACGAAGCCAAACAGGCGTAAACGAAACTAAACTAATTGATTTTTTAATACTTTGTTTTTATCTAAGACATGTTAGCTTTGTTGCATGCGAAAGTGGACCGGTACTGGAATTTTCAACGATTTCGTGTTGCAGCTAATACTGATGTCTATAGACATCTGCACGCGACCGTTCACTATATCGCATTTACACATCCGTCGCACGCTCACATACAGTGGCGCATAGCAACGTGTATGCCTCACGAGCTCACAATGCAGTCGATGTGGGAATTGATGGCGGATCGTAGGCCAAGGAACAATATTCACGCTATCGCGTTGCTCTAATGCTATTACGATGCTGACGTGTATACATCTACATCTGCATGCGAATTAAGTGCTCGCAGCCGAAACGGTCACCCAAGCGAACCTCGTGAAATTTCCCCCGCCACACACGCATCAAATATGCATCATTCCGTACGTATGTGCTGCGAGCTTCAGGGAGAGCTGATGCGATTACGGCAACCCTTGAGAGGTCGGCAAATTGATCAAGTAGAGGAGGCATGCATCTTACGCGGCATTAATGGAACAAGGAATCAGGAGTCGAGACGGTAAACGACGATAAATGAACTCGAACGGAAAAGCAGCCCTTCCACGCAGCGTCTTCCTGTCGTAGAGCATCAGAGAAATGCCATCGAAATCCATGATTTCGCGTCTAGAGATTGCCGCGCTGAACAGCAGTCGCCTGTTCATTATCGCTTGATCTACGGTCATTATTTAAATTGTAGCGTATCAGATTTTAGTCTTTTTTAGCACGATTTCTCAAGTCTTCATATAAGTAATGCTTATATCCTAATGATTTAAGCTTTTAAAAATGAACTATATATTTTAAAATCTAAAATATGTTACTTTTACGACACCGCATTAAAAATTCGCCAGCTAAATGTAAAACAAGCATCATAAGAGCTCGGTAAATCGCTTCTCATATAAAGAGAATCTCGAATATTACGTAAATCGTGCTGTATAATCTTGTGCACTATTTCTCGGGCAGTTTTACACGCGCATGAGGAACGCACGTTAACTGTGTATAAAGGGGTTTCCACCAATCAACGAGCCGGGTGCCATGTTAATTTCTTTTCATTTTAAAACGATGCCTATTCAGATATGCTACATGCTGTACGCATCCTACGAACTATAGCAATATAGAGATGATTACATGCCAAAGTCAAGTCTCATCATCAAAGAATTCCTGACGTTGATCACGGATGCAAGAGAGACACTAATTAAATCAATGACCACCGACAGCGAATTTTAGAGGAAGTCATATATATATAAGCCTAATAACCCACACGGCGTGAACTCTTGAAGCTCGAATTATAATACATGATATGACATTAATAATGAATACATTATATGACATCATGCACCTGTTCTGATCTGAATGGCAAGTCTAATGAAAGTGTCAATGACACTGTAGCTCACCGTGGGTGTGATAGTAGAGGGAGGAGGGATATATAAAGCAAGAGTATATATGGGAGAACTCCCATTATATAGCATATCTCTCAGTATTAACTCTTGATAATGATATATGCATAAGTTTTGATGCGAAAATAAATGTTTCAGATCGGAAAGTCTGAAATCTTGACGAGAGATGGCGCTACGCCTAAATGATCGCCATTTGGGTTTTCGAATATTGCGCAAATAAAAACAAATTTTGCACAGGGGAGAGATAGTGATCCGCTAGGGGACGGCTCTGATTGGCTAATTTTGTCTCTTATTTATTTTATTATTTATTATTTTTGGCTAATTTTGTTTTATTTTAGAATTAGGGATAGGGTTAGGGTTAGGGTTAGGATTAGGGTTAGGGCTAGGGTTAGGGTTAACTGATTTCTATATCCACAACTTATTTCTATATTCACTATCTTTCCCCTGAGACCTACTAAATAAAAACAATAAAATATTCCAGTTAAATTACTGTAACGAAGAATCTAAAACACAATATTACACGGTATGATTGTAGAGTTGTTGACCAGTTTGACAAAATAAACGTAATAGGACGTTGTCATCTCTCCCATACAACTGTTTCGGGGCTAGCCTTACACATTCACATACCAAAATTTTACAAACTCGAATGAATTTAGATGGCCATTTTCATTTTTGCCAAAAAGTGGGCGTGGCTCGAAAGTAGGTCGACTGGCGTGCTCCAAAATAGAAGGTTCAAATCTCTCCCATAGGAGTAACAACTGTGTTCAATTTGAAACATGTGGGCCAAACGGTTCTTGAGTTATCGTTGACCGTAGGCAGACACTGAAATGCATAGTGAAATTGCCAAAATCTACCTAATTTGCATAATAATAATAAAAATAAAAACCCGTGTGATATGTTTTGGGACCAGTCCTCATTCATTCACATACCAGAAATGAGCAAAACCCATTGAACCTGAACTGATTTGTGGCCATTTCCATTTTTGCCAAAAAGTGGACGTGGCTCGAATGTAGGTTGACTGGCGTGCTCCAAAATAGGACGTTCAAACCTCTCCCATATGAGTAACAACTATATGCAATTTAAAACATGTGGGTCAAACGATTCTTGAGTTATCGTTGACCGTAGCCAAATGTTGACGGACGGACGGACGTACGGACGGACGACACCCCATGGCAATAGCTCATCTTGACGATGTCAAGGCGAGCTAAAAACGAACTATCGAACCCTACAGCCGGTTACAGAATGCTTCCTGTTATGAAAAGTAAAATATGGGTATCGATATAGTAGAAAAGACAGGTGTCCAAGCGTTAGTTCCTCTCATGCCAAATGTTGCGTTTTGTGTCGGTAGAGTCGGTATTATGAATTTTAGACGCTGCATGGTTTTTGCTGATGTACGCGCCCCCTCGCGTGTCCGTATCGACCGGCTGCACTATAAGTCGCTGCGAATGTGATTTGTGGCTGCTGCTGTGGAAGCTGCTGGAGCGCTCACCCGCGGGTAGAAGGTCAGCCTCATTAGCGAAACATCGGCTATCCTAGCGCAAGCACCCGCGCACCTCGTTATAAGCCGCGTCGGACAAAAACGAAGCGCGTCTGCCTATCTATGCGCGCTATATTGAGTGGGGTATGACGTGTCATGAAAATAGCTCCCGTAAGATTTTTGTGCTAAAATAGATTTGTTGGCTTAATCTGGTTGATTTGGGGTCAAACTATTAGAAAATGGTGGGGTTTTAAATTTTCCGAACCCTCGATCCCCAGGGGGAGGGGGTTTTTGCGTTGGCGTCATCAATGCAGAAATTACATCACCGACGCATGAATATCACCGTGAAGTGCGGAGGGCCTCACGCGTGTGAAATCACCTATACACGAGGCTGGCGTGTGAAATAACATGCATCTATATACGCAAATGTGGCGCGTGAAAAAACCTGCCTCTATATACGCAAGGCTGGCGTGTGAAATAACATGCATCTATATACGCAAATGTGGCGCGTGAAAAAACCTGCCTCTATACGCAAGACTGGCGTGTGAAATAACCGGCATCTATACGCAAGGCTGGTCTGTGAAATAACCTGCATCTATATACACAAGACTGGCGTGTGAAATAAACTGCATCTATATTCGCATGGCTGACGTGTGAAATAACCTGCATCTATATACGCAAGGCTGGCGTGTTAAATAACTTTCGTCTATATAGACGAGGCTGGTGTGTGAAATAAGTTGCATTCATATATATATGCGAGGCTGCATGACGTGTGTCGTATCTCGATGGCAAGGCGTAGCCTACGGGGGGGGGCAAGGGGGCAGCTGCCCCCTAGATTTTGGAGCAAAATTAAAAAAATAAATTGTTCTACTAAAAGAGAATTGTCGTAGTCAGAATGAAGGCTGTACATGTACTCAAAAGTGCCTCAAATACCATCTCCTGCGATCTACATTTTTATATCTACTAGCGCGCGATGGACTTATTCGTGTATGCACGTATATGTGCTAGAACAAGTAAATTGCCCTCTAACATAGCGTCTTACACGCGCTTGCTCCAAGAAACGGTCTTGGCTAGGGTTAGGAGACGTTGTGAGGGACGTTAGGACTGCGGGACGTGAGGACTGCTAGAGTTAGGAGACGTGTGTATATTGACGTTAGTCACATAGCCTGGTTGGGTTAACACGCGCTATGCACACGGTGAGTGCATAAACAAACACGCGATGCCCAATAAAAACGAAACACGACGCAAGAAGCACGACTTACGTTTTGTTCATATACGTGTTGCTCCCCCGTTGACTCGCGCGCATCAGCCCGGGGCCAGCATGTCAACCATGGCCGTCCTCTATGCGCGTGTCGACCGCACGTCCGCACGCACTGCACTGAAAGAAGAACCCCGAACTGCGCGTTGCTTGCGTTCTATGGAGGCTTGTTGTCTCTGCGTCGGTGATGGCTCATAGGTGCGGGCTAAACGCTCGCTGACGGCGCGCGCGCGCGCTGGGAACGCAGAGATCTACAGCCTTCATCAATCAATGCTTGCTCGCTCCTGCGATGCTGGCGGGGATGTGACGGCTGCTCGAGCTGTAGCCGTGCCTAATGGCCAGGGCAGCGAGCGACGGGTCTTCGCGCGTGTGTGCGCGCGCTCCCGCGATGACGGAGGACGACGCGAAATACAATGAATTCGTTTGCAGCCGCGCTTATGATGATATGCGGCCAAAAGTCGATACATTAATTGCATACATTATTCACGCGCAGTGCGCCTGCGCGCGCCTCGCATCAAGTCGCCGACGTGACTCTCGGCAGGAGGTGCTGATTGAAGTCCGGCCCACACACACCTCACCCCGCGCTCCGACCTTCACCTCGTCGTAAGCGGCGGGTAAGCGGAGAGTATCGATGCGCAGGGTAGTGACACTAGAAAGGTGGATAAAGTGTTTAAGGCGGCGTTGCGGCCTTGAAGCAGGTTTCAGGTTTACGTAATCTCTTAATAGAGACCTTAATTAAAACCGGTAATTTAATAGCTCGCTTGCGGTAATCAGTGTGCAAGATATAGTTATAATTTGGAAGAATAGACGTTTCATTAAACCGCGTTAATTATCCGTTCCCAGCTTTGTATATCCGTCGGTCGGTCGGTCGGTCGGTCGATCGGTCGGTCGGTCGGACGGTCGGTCTGTCGGTCGGTAGGTCGGTCGGTCGGTCGATCGGTCGATAGGTCGGTCGATCGGTCGGTCGGTCGGTCGGTCGGTCGGTCGGTCGGTCGGTCGGTCGGTCGGTCGGTAGATAGATAGATAGACACTTAATTAGCACGCGCACTCACGCATGCACGCTCACACACGCCTGCTCGGAGGCTCGCGTGCGTGCTGCGGGTTCGATGGTCAGTCAGTCAATACTACTACTACTACTACTACTATTACTACTACTACTACGAATAATAATAATTAGTATTATTATTAGAGTAAAAGTGGTTTCTTTTGAGACGTTCATATAAGGTTTTCAATGCCAGTCGGCCATTATCCTCGTCGTTTCGACAGCTGAATTGAAAATGGGTATACCATGACATGTCTCGAATTGTCGCGAACTTGTTCAATGCTTGCGGGGGTCATATCTGAAATGCACCTTGTGCATGGCTGACAATAACCGTTCTTCGTACCAAACGTAGTTTATACGGAAATACACCCTAACTATAATCGCAGCGCAAGAAACATATGGAACGTTATTTCCTTCTCTATTCACATTTTGGGCATTACCTATGCGCACTCGAGATATTATCGAAGACAACTCGGCAACAAGAACGAGTTATTTGTAGTAGTCGACTCGATCTAGCTCTCTGGAATGATTGTACGGAATACGACTACACCTCATGTCTAATGCAGCATGCCTTTGTTAGTGCGTGTCTCATATATAAGATAATCATGGTTCAATGGTGACGTCCGCTCAGCTCTCGCGTCGTGCCAAGGCATACAATATGCTAGCGCAGATATCGGAACACGATAATTCCTTGGTGATAATAGATATACAAAACGCATGATGCCACAATGTAGGTCATCATCGATATTCCTTCAGCTAATTACTTAGTTACTTAATTACTTAATTTGCTTTCCACCTGTCATAATATCTGTTATGGCCACCTGGAGATGTCTGCGGAAATAATTACTACGTCGCCATAAAACCATAGTATACGTATCAATAATTTCCATTTATATATTCGGACATATAGCACTACTGTGAGCTTAGGGTGGGGCGTTCGTCTTTAACAGTAATAAATATTTCAGATGTGCGTTAAGATATTTTTCGTGTCTCTATCGTTTCGTAAGCAATATTAAAGACATCAGGCGCTAATAATGACAAATGATTAGGAAATAATGATAATTTGTCATTATTAGCTCCTGAAGACACGTATATATCAACATACAAGACAATGTAGTTTTGTTACGTAATATGCATATGACCTTGATATGACGCAATTTAATGTCATGCTGAGACGAAAATGGGAGCATTGAATTATCCTATTAATTTGGTGCTGCACTCTCCGTAAACCAATTGTTGCCTAATATGTTTTGCGGGTAAATTTACATCGCGCTATGGGGAACTGGACTCGATTAGACTTTGTTCGTAAGTTCAGAATGGTGAGTGAGATTTTCATGCAAGTCAAATATATACGCTATATAACAATATTATCCATATTCGCGGCTTATCTTTAATAATACCTGGGGGGATAAAAGCTGTCTGTCTGTCTGTCTGTCTGTCTGTCTGTCTGTCTGTCTGTCTGTCTGTCTGTCTGTCTGCCATCTAATTAGCTGCCTTCTTCTAGTATTGCAGCATCAAATTGCCACCATATGGTACGTAGTAACGATTTTATTATTATAGCGTTGCCAACCGGTAGAATTCGTTTCAATGCTGAATACGTGGTTTTGCTGGCGTCACATTTGCAATGTTACCCGAGCTCATTTGTTGCCGTTTTTATGATGAGATTAATTTCCTCCTTTTATCATACACAACGTAACATGTCTAAGGGACTTGCCAAACCTCAAGAACGGGAAGTATGTGTAGCCAATAAAAGCGGCGATTTAAATAACGAAGACAAACAACGTTATTTTGGGTTGTTAAGATCACCCGGCGATTTTACGGTGAAGGAGGCAAAACAACGACTAGGACCCCGAAATCGGCTGTATGTATTGCAGGCAAGTAATAACCTTGAAATTCGTTTAATTAGTAAATATAAATATTTTTAGAATATTCAATTTTTTTAACGATTTGACTGGCGATGACCAACACAATTCAACAGAATAGAGTGCACTTGATTAATGATGGCCAACATGACAGAGGAGCAGTCTATGGTTTATTAACTCTACAGGTTTATTTATTGAACCATTTTAGCACTTCATTGCTAAGTATTTAACTTTGACATTGATTTTATTTAACTATTTAATTATTTATTTTTCAATACCATAATGACATTTAGTATGTATATCTAATGTAACAACATATTTAAATCGCTGTTCAAGAACTGCAATAAACCAATAATCAAGCCATCCGTCAAGTTTGACGGTACAGCCATGTCTAGGCTATAATCCGCTGATTGCATGAAACATATTGACTATTTGCAACAGACTATTGCTGGTTTCCAAAATTATTTGTCGAAAAAAGATCTTCGTACTTCAAAGAGTAAAACATTATAAACATAATGCAGCAAATGTCGTCAGAATAGACTTTCCATGCTCTCTTTTCTGTTTTCTTTGCCTACACTATGTACGGAATCTAGCTTATATGTAAGACAGGATAAACACATCAGCTTATAACGACGGCAACTGATTTAATCAACTGATGTGCGTGCTTTACATACCTCGCCGTGGGCTCCACACCCTCTATTCAAGCACATTTTGTAACGACCGTTCGCTGGAGAGCGCCATTATTTATTTGTACATCTAGGTTTACATCTCTTGACAAAACCTACGCATCCCTCGTTTTTTTCTTCCACACGCTTACAGAACGGTTTATTGCATGGGTATTGTTCTGGAAGAAACACTAAACGGCAACCATGCGTTGCGGTAAACTGATACTCCTTCGTTTTGTCAAAGGCGCTTATAATCAATTAGAATTTCGTAATACTATAACGCACAGACGAATTTACGTATATGACCATAATCGATCCAAAATTAATAATTTAAAAGTGAAAATGGTCGAATTTAAAATTTAAACGCCATATAAATACCAGTTGAATAATATTTTCACCATTATTGATGGTTTTTTTATGGGATTTTACGGACTGAGAAAATTTATATTTTCGTTTAACGGTGGAATAATCGCGCCTACGTTGCTAACTACGGCGTATACGAAGACAGATGATAGCCTGCTTAATAGCTTATTCTAGCGGCATCTAAACCCTGCTCGGCCGGAATAATTATATATTATGACAGCAACTAGATGTATTAATTGTCAATGTGCAAGTACGTGATTATTATTTTCTTCGGAATTTCTATACGAAATAGAAATAGAAAATACGAAGAGGAATTTCTATATGAAATAGACTCCAACTCGATGTCATTTTCAATATATAAATAATGTCAGGCTCTTAGAATTATGGCTCTAGAGGTACATATCAGATTTTGCTACTTTTCCGATTTTAGTATTTTGTCATTAATTACCTGCAACTTGAGCTAATTTCTACACTATGCCTTAATTCCTTAATTACGTTCACGTTTTTGTGTTTGATTACTATTCGTGAATGTACCGTGACTAAACATGAGTCCTACCAGCTCCCCACAGAATACTTTCTTAATGAGCGGTGGTAGTGGCTTGTTGCTAGACTGGTTTCTGATCTTATCTGGAAGCGTATCACATGTGTCTGATAGTACAGTAATGAGAATAGGGTCCGTCTGTCATTTTATTTAATATCTAATTATTCTCATCGATTTAAGCAGCGAGTGGATTTTGAATGATGCATCTCGATCAGGCGTTGTTTGCAGCTAATTGTAGACGCTAGTGTGTTTAGGTAACTAATAGCTGATAGGGCAGCAACATGAATAAGAAAGGAACCCACCGAATAGTGCAGGATAATACTGTGGAATAAACAGACATAATGTCAAGCAAGGCGACACGTAACAAGATCTAGATACTGTATAACGCAACGACTAAAATTAAAGTCACTGGTTAGTAACAAAGTTTCAAGTCGTGAAACCTATGTGTCTAACTAAAGCAAAATATCGTGATACGTGCTCAGCTCGCACGTCAGATACAGTGACAATCGATTCGGCTGCGCGTGCAGTCGTAGTCGGACGCACCACCAGTCTCCGGGCGACTCGCATTAGAGCTTCTTAAACATACATGCATTCTACATGCGAGCAATAAATATTCATACTTAATAAACATGCTGTGCATGTAATTCTTCTTCTCGGCAAACATTGCGCACTCTTTCTCAATCAATTACCGGCCGTGTTTACTCATACTTATCTATCGTTTACATTGTATCTCCGCTAATATTTTCATGGACAGAAACACATTTCACGTCACATCAAGGAAGCGCATAGCCAGAATTGC